TAAGCAAAAAATATTTTTCGTGTCATATACACTTTAAAAGCATTTTTACGGTGGCTGTATGGTATGTTTACAGAACTGTACGGCGGTGTTACTTTACGCAACTTTTTGTATCTTTACAATACGGCCGTAAGGCTCGCTCTCCAACTTACGCACCTTAACGTTTATCGGAAAGTTGGGTAAATTTTTATTTCGTACCTGTCCCTGGGAGGGAGGAAAGGAAGCCAGGAAGTGTTACAGGCGTTTTTCTTAACTGTATTTGTCTTCAAATGAAAAAACAAATGCCATGGAAATCACACACAGATTCCATACAGTTACAATAATTTTGTAAATCAAAGTGTAGAAAATGCGAACTCTTCATTTTTAAATCTTTCATTTTTTTTTAGCTTCATTGCAGGAACTCTTTTTTCCCGAATTTGATTTTAATTTGTCTTCCCAAACAATCGCGAGCATGCATTTAATCATCGGCGATAATATTCATAATCTTCCGTGTTAACAAATTTGTAGATGACGTCTTACTGAGAGCCTAAATTTTTTTTAGCAGGATGCCCGAAGGCGTTACGCGTGATCACATTTTTCACATCTTGGAGGCCTTCGCATAATCAGCTTTCCCTGGATTGTTAATATCGTCATCCATTTGTCATCCGATTTGATCGTCCATTGACAGAACAGTTTTTACCCGGAGCAGATTAAGGTACTGTGTTTCACTCAGTTGATGTCCCATATCAGAAAATATTGTACTTTTTTCTGGGTTTCTTTAGTTTTCTTTGGTTTTATAGCATGTTTAGGATTCGGAGTTAATCAAATGATCAATCGACATCTATTGTTTACGACCAATTTTCGATTTTGGCGTTCTCAGTAATCAGTTCGAATTATTTGTAGTTATCGTATCTTAATTGTTTATCAGTTCGATCAAGTTTAGCGACAATTAACTTGAAAAAGACTAGTAAGCTCAAAATCAACAAACACCACGAAACATGGACTCAGGAATGCTTTCCAATTCCACCACTGACAATTACGTTAAGAATTCGCCAGTTTTTGCATTGGCGCTGAAGAGAAGCAGAAGTCGAATTCACAAAACTGGCAAACCAGAACCTGGGCAAAAGTTGGTGAACAAGGTAAACCCAGGAAAGCTCTCCTAGCCTGTTTCATTGAGCGGATAGAAA